TGTCAGCTATCCTCCCCAGCCAATCCCAACCAGCCTGCCCCGCCCCACCGGGTATATAAGGCCTGTGGTGGGGTGCGTGACGGGGTGGCCATTTTCTCACGCAGTGGAGGTGCCGCTGGACCGGCCAGCTTCGCCAGCTGATTCTCCAGAGACAGGAGAAGAAGCGGGGCAGTGCCGCTGGCACGGGCAAGAAGGGCGTCAAGGTGTGAGAACCCGGCGGGAACAAGTTAAACAAACAGTTTCACTGTTGAGCTCTCCCTCTGCTTTTTCGCCCTGGCTGTTGTTCCAGCTCCCTTCCCCTCTGGAAGGAGCCCAACGCCTTCTGCAGCCTTCAAAAGCTTGCCGGGTGATATTTCGGCATGGTTTCGCCCACTGCTGACAGCAGCCGTGGCTGGGGGCAGGAACAGCTGCTCTTCAGCGGGGTGCTGTCCCCATCGCACAACCCAACAGGCTTCCCGCACCCGGGCATCGTGTGGCTGCTTGGGAGGAGATGGGGACCACGGTCCCAGTCCTGCACCATGCCTGCCCAAGGAGGGCCTGGGGGGATGCGGGGGAGATGAATGTGCTTGCTGGGTGTTCCCTGCTAAGTTGGGAGAAGCTGGGAGCTCTCTGCTGCCTAAAGTAAAGCCAGGCTCAGTGCTGGTCCTGGGCTGGTGGGACCAGATGGCTGCTAGCCACAGCCCAGTGCGAAATGGGGGGTTTGGGGATGGGAGCTCGGCCAGGCTGGGAAACAGTGGGGCAGAGGGACTCGAGGGCAGGCGGGTGTGATGTGCCGTGGGGCTGGGAGGCTGGGGGCAGCAGGGTCTGGGACAGGTCTGGGGGCTCCCGCTGGGCACAGATGCACTGCACAGACACACCACACAAGCCCAAGCACCGCTCACAGCAGCGGCTGGATTTCCTCTTGCCAAAAGGCAGTTTAATGTGGATGCTATTCATGTGTTCCCCGGGGGAGAGGCAAAGGGACCCCCCTGTGCGACCTAGAGAGAGACAATCTCGCGGTGCAAGCCCCAGCACCGAGCGAGGGCTAGTCCTTCTCTTCACCATGCGTAATGACGTGGACGAGGTTTTTGTAATCCAGGTTGCCAGACACGTCTGGAGGGAAGGCTGCGAACATCTGATCGATCTGCCGGGAAAGAGCCGGGGTGAAAAGGCGGCACAGAAGGGGTTTGGGGCTGGGAGGAGGGCTGGGGGATTGTTGGGATGGAGGGTGCAAGAGGCTGGCAGGGGGTGGGAAGGAGCTCGTACCTCTTCCTGGGAAAACCTCTCACCCTGCGTCATCAGCATTTCTTTGATGCTGCAAACAAGAGAGCATGGTGAGCACCAAGGAGACCTCGGTGGGGATGCCCGCTCTGCCCCCCAGACACCCCTGCACTCACTAGGCGGATTTCAGGCCTTTACCCTCTGGATCGAACACCTTGAACGCATTCAGGATCGTCTCCTCCGGGTCAGCACCTGTGGGTGACATGGCCACGACCATTGGAGGTGGTGGAGGAAGAACCCAGCTGCAGCCTCCTGCTTCCCCCCAGCCTTTAGGGGGAAGATGGGGGGATGCGCTGGGAAGCAGGGCCCCTGTGAGAATGCCGATCCCGCAGCTCTCCCATGCTGGCCGGGGCCTCAAGTGCGGGTGGTGTCACTTAGAGGAGCAGACGTAGGATCGTGGCGTGCACACAAAGCAGGCTGTGTCGCCACCACCCTGGCATCCGGCATCTATCTAATCTTTTGGGTGTATTTATAGAGCTCAAGGCAGAGGCCCCTGGGGCCGTGTAGCCTCCTGGAGATCTGCAGGGAGACTGCATGCCTTGAGTTGCGTAAGGGATACAGCGTGCAGTCGGACGGGGCTGTTGGGTCAAAGTCACACTGTAGCCAGTGGCCATCAGTGCCGTCGGAGCCAGCACGGAGGGCTCAGAGTTGCTGCGAGATCTCCTGTCCCCCGTTTCTATGTGGACAGCAGAATCACAGTCTGCTGGGTTTTTTAATGGATGATAAAACTGAGGCACGGAGACCTGCTTGTACCCCTCAGCAGGTTGGGGAGACACAGGATGAGATCCAGGTGTCTGGATGGGCAGCCCCAACCCTGCCTTTGGGACTGTTGGTATTGCAAGTCAGCATGAGTTCTGGGGCATGGGGAACTCCCTGGGGACAGTTACTCAAGGTACATGATGCTGAGTTTGTCCTATCTACAGGGAGAGCACCCAAGCCCGGTCAGACCCTGGGTTGGCCAGCCCAGGGTTTGGAGGACGAGGACTGGAGCTCTTGGGGAGAGAGGTTGTTGCAAGTGATGGTCCCACCAAAGCCTCTGGCTTTATGGGGAGCCACTGGGAGAAGGTGGCCCTAAGGGATGCGGGAGGGATAGGTGAGGGAGACCATTTCACAGGTATGCCATGGTTGTCCCCCTCTTGGCCATGGTGTGGGAGGCATCTTTGCTCTGACCCACTTCCCGGGCTCCGCACGCCACAGCCTGGTATTCGTGCCACCTGCCTTTCTTTAGCAGCTCCCATCTGAGGCCTCCAAGGAACCTCTCATGGGTCTCACCTGGAAGGGTGATGGAGGACCCAGGAGCTGGGTGGCTTCCCCAGGTGGGATGGGACATTGGTGATGGTGTGGGTGCCCACCCCCACCCCAGCTCCCCAGGTGCCCTCTCACCCTTGAGTTTCTCCCCAAACATGGTGAGGAACACAGTGAAGTTGATTGGGCCGGGTGCCTCCTTTATCATCTCCTCGATCTCCTCGTTTTTCACATTCAGGCGCCCTAGGGGAGAGCAGCGGTGGGTGAATCACGTGTCCATGTCTGGCTGCAAACGTGTGCAGATCTCCGGGCTCTGCCCTATGTGCGGGGGCTAAAGGACACACCACGGGACCCTTGCCCTGAAGGTTTTTCCCCCACCCGAGGGAAGCAGCACAGCCCTGGGGAGCCACCCCTGTCAAGGAATGGCAGTAACAGAAGTGGGGAGGGAAGAATCATGTGCTGGCAGAGGATGAGTGGGCTAAACATCTCCAGCTCTGGTTTCTTGGGCTCCAGGATCACAGAAAAGAGGGCTCCAAAGGACCGAGCTGTTCAGTTTCCTTCCCTCGCTGCCCCATGCATCGGCTTGCTTCAGCCCTCTTTGGAAGACGTTTTGGGTCAGACCCACCAGCTCTGTGGTTCCCCTGGCCTCTGATGTCAGAAGCGAACAGCTCTAAATGCCTACATCCTTTACGTGAGCTTGGGTTGTCTTTGGGACTCCCCGGCCCCATCGCTGGTTTGCGCTAGCCTCCGTGATGAGACCACCAAGCTCACAACTTCACAGCTTCCCACGAATCCCATAAATCCCCCCAATGCCCATACACCCAGGGATGTCGTGGGATGGGCACAGCCGGGTGCTTCGTAGCACGCAAGAAGGCAGGGAGCACTCGCCCGTGGATAATCCAGGAGCTGGCTCTCTCTAGTACCTGCGGGTTTAAAGACCCGCTGCTGCGGGAGCTGCTCTGAGCCACCCCGCGTGGATCTCACCCGCTAACAGAAGTGGTTTCAGGTCAGAAGTTTTCAGCAAAGCAGGAGATCCCGTTAACCTCTGGGGCTTGGTTCGATGGGGGCTCACAGCTAGTTTCTTACTTAATAGGTCTAATGTTGTCGAAGCTGTTGGGGAGGGTCCTAAAAGGGGGCTCACCCAGTGCAGCAAACGTGTCCCTCAGATCTGCCTTGTCAATGAAGCCGTCTCGGTTCTGATCCATGATGGTGAACGCCTGGAAGCACAGGAGGAGGGCAGGGAGCACAGGGAGAGCTGTCAGCCTTTGCAAAGTACCCTCCTCCCCCCACCCTTGGACTTGCATGGGACAAGGTCACTTTGAGCCTTGCCCGAGGTGGGGCTTTGGGGGTCCTCACCCAGCGAGGGACCAACGACTTAATCCAGCAGCAATCCTGGCTCCTGTGCCCTTGGGCAGTGCGGGCTGGCGGCTTCCTACGGCAGCCCAAACCCTCATGCCCTACAGACCCTCTGCCTTGGGGACAAGGATGAGACCAACTGGGGAGGACAGCCTGAGCCACCAGCAAACCCAGCTGGGGCCAGTTATCCCTGTAACTGGGATCTACAGGGGGTCACGCAGGGGGTCAGTCGTGAGGAGCTCCTGGCATGGCAGGGGGGAGCTGTTTGGGAAGATGTGCTCCTGCTCTCCTGGATGCTGCCGGCTCCTCTGCGGCGTGCGGGCTCCTGGCGATGCCGTTATTTAACAATTGTCACTGAGTTGTTATTCGCATTTTTAAAATGAAACGACTTAAAAGCAGGCGTGCTGCCTCTTGTTGCAAAGCAGCTGTCACCGCTCTGAAAGCGCTGAGGAAAGAGCTGAAGGTCACATCGCATCAAGGACCCTCGGTCATTTCTACCAAACCCACCTACCTCTTTGAATTCCTGGATCTGGGCCTGCTCGAACATGGAGAAGACGTTGGAATTAGCACCTTCAATCCTCTTCTTGGCTTTCTTGGGTGCCTGCAGGGGTTCAAGTATGTATCACTAACTCACTGGCTTTTTATGGTGTGGAATAAAAGCACGAATCTACCCTATTCTTAGTCCTGAGTCCTTCACAGTAGCTCTGGGCTGGTGCTGCTACCGCACTTGGGTGCTTGGTGGTTCTCCCGTGCATTGCTCAGGAGCTCTGAGCACAGGCAACCCTCCAAGACACTGAGGGACTTTAAGATTTCTGCTTAACTTACAGCTCCATCTTTGCTTTCCCGATGAATTTAGGCAAACAGGGCGCAAGGAAAGATGAGTTGGGAAATCAATTCCCCACCAAAAGCTACAGCAGGTAAGATCTTTCCTGGTGGAAACTGGGGTTTGGGAGCGCCGCTGAGGTTGCATGCAAGGGCTGTGGTTGTTAGGTGCTTCCTTGCCTTTCTGTGCCTCTCGCTGAGAACACAGCACTTACTAAAATGCTTATTAAAAAAATCTGCCTTCTCCTGTACTGAGGCTTGAAACAACCAGAAATGGCTTGATGTGTTTCGAACAGGAGCGGAGGACAGAGCCGCTCATCCTCCCACCCTGCCCATCCTCCCTCGTTCCAGCCCCATGCTCCGGCAGCCTTTCCCTCTAACTGGGGGGGGGGGCTGCCAGGAGGATGCAGAGCGGGAGGGTTTGGGGGGGACACAAGGGCCCTTCCTCTCCCTGCATGGAGGAAGGGAAAGCAGAAAGATGGCATTTGGACCCGAAAGCGATCTACCCCAGTTAGAAAGTTCCACT